TCCCTCCAGAATTCATTCACCTCGGCTTGGAAAGTCGAGAATCGAGATTTGCTTGTGTCCCCATTGGGGACTCCCCAAACCTCATCCCAGCGTCCGCGCCTTTCCGTTTATCCATCACTGCTTGGAGTCTCCTTGCAAGCTTCTTTTGGTGGCGTTTCTTATCCTTTAGTTAGTCCTTGTGCTTTTATGACTCGGCTCGCACGAGTCATTCCCAAGATCCGGCGTTAGATCCGCATTCTTTGTCCACGTGTCTTACAGTGCTCGATCTTCGCTCCTGCGTGGTGAGAGACAAAGCGAGTTCGCCTTGACGGCGAAGTCGAATTCACTAATCCGCGTGTTACACGATTACAGATCTACATCAGTGAGCTACGAGTCGACTGATCTAGCTACTTCTGAACTTACGGATACTGAGCGTTTGCGAGTGCAGATTCGTTCGTCGGCTTTCGGAATCGACTGTCCTGTTTTTTCCCTCCCTGTTCCGCGACTCGTTACTATGGCCGGAGTATTATGTCGATCCATAAGAGCCAAGCAAACCAAGATACCGTGGATCGCGCTGCTGCTTGTGGCGTTTCTAGCAACTGCCACGTGGCAGCGCGCCATTGCTTCCGCGAAACAGCTCGAGGGATTTGACGAGGACGAGTTTGACGATGCAGCTGACGAGGAGGAGACGGAATTCGTCGCCCCGCAACGCCCTCCGACGCGATCCGTCACGCTCGAGCCGGATCAGGGCACAAAAGCAACGGCTGGATCTGATCGAGATTCCAAATCAACGGACACCACTGCACCCGACGGACCGGCTTCCGTTGGCGGCAGCGGGGGTAGGTCAGCAGGACAAGCGGCGGACTGGGATGACGAGGAGTTTGAAGGGGTGACGCCTGGTGCTGGCGCTGGTGCCGGGGAAGCAGCAGGCGGCGGGAAGCCATTTTTTGGCAAGCCCGGATCCGCGCGGCAGCAGGCGCAAAAGGCTCGCGCGCGGAGACTTTCGGTTCCGCGGAAACCGTTCCACCCGCGGGACTTCATTGCGGAAGGGGTTTTCCTTGCGTTTCTCGTGATTTTCGCGATTAACTATTTCGTCGGCAAATGGCAGAACGAAAAGATTGCGCTTTCTTTCGCGAATCAGTTTGCGACGGAGGGTAACTTGCTCGCGAAGAACTTCGCCCTGATCGGAACGGGCGACACCAGCGAACCGATCCTCGTCAAAGAAGGCCAGGCGACGTTCAAGCTGTATGCGAGCGGGCGAAGGTTCTGCGAAGCGATGCTGGTAACCCTGAACCTGCGAAGTCGCCACGATCTCGCCACGCTCGCATGGGACGCGCTCCTTTCTTCAAAGAAAGATCAAGTTGACGTGGACGTGTACATGAACGACGAGGACATGGCTCCGTTTGTACTCGCTATAGTGCCGCGCAAATCCGCTAAGGCGTTTATAAAAGAAAACGCGGATCTTAAGGAGTTTGCGAGCATGCTTGACGCGGAAGTGGTGCTCAAGGGGGGAGGCGGCAGCGGGAAGAACAAGTGGGCGGCAGACGAGTTGGCTATTATCGGGGATAGCAGGGAAGCGGCGTATGAGCTTCTGTCTGACGTCATCATAGATCAGGTACGGTGCGAGTGTGACACAAAACCTTTTTTTTTCCGTTTTCTGTTCATCTTATTCCAGCAAATTCTGTTTCCCCTATTCCTCCCTCTTTTTATCCTCTCTTTCCCTTGCTCGTTATCACTTTTGCTCACACTCCCTTCTCCCTTGCGCCTCTCTCTTGCATTTTCTCGCCTCGTGCACTTCCCCCTTCCCCCCTGTTTTCCCCTTCCGCCCTTCCCTTCCGCCCTTCCCTTCCGCCCTTCCCTTCCGCCCTTCCCTTCCACCCTTCCCTTTCCCTCCTCCTTTTCCTCTTTCCTTCATCGGTTGCACCCTTTCCTCCCATGACACACACATCAACCGCACGCCCGAATAAGTTTTAAGTCATCTCGCAACTTCCCTTGTTCAGTTTCACCATTTCACCATTCCTCCCATGACATACACATGAACTGCACGCCCAAAGACCCATTTCTTCTCCCTTGCCTCATTCTCATTCCCCCCCAGCTGTTGTTTTTCCCCCTCCTCTTACAGCCCACTTTATGTCATACCCATCCCTCCCCATGTTCCCCATTTCTCCCCAACCTCTCCCTCCCCCACTCTCCCCTCCCCCGTTTCCCCCCTCACTCCCTTGTACCCCCCCCTGCCCAACCCCATACTCCCCCCAGCTGTTCGGCGAGAAATCTTTCCCAAAGATAGCGCCTCTCTTCCGCACGCTGCACTTCACAGACTAGCACCCCACAGCAGCAGGCGCTCACACGCCAACTCCTTCCCTTCCCTCCTCTCTCCTTGTTCCCCTTGTTCCTCTCCCACCCAGCTCTTTGGCGAGAAATCTTACCCAAAGATAGCGCCTCTCTTCCGCGCTCTGCACTTCACGGATCAGCAACCCACAGGCGCAGGCGCACACCGCAAGGTGCTGCGCTTCTCCTTCCTGCTGCCCCAGGGGGGCGCTGCCGAGCTGGCAAAGCTGATGGCATCCGTGCCGTTTTTCATCGATGCTGTGGGGAAATTCCGACTCAGCGCCCAGGTGAGCCGTTGCTGCCTCTAGTCGATAACCACACTCCCCTGTGACTGCTTTCCTTGCTGCCTCCACGCGCTGCCGAGCTGGCGAAGCGGATGGCGTCTGTGCCATTCTTCATAGATGCTGTGGGGAAATTCCGACTCACTGCCCAGATGAGGCGCTCCCCTGCAGGGTTCCCCTAATCACACTCCCCTGTGAGTTGATTGCCATCTTTAAAATGGCTGACCTGGTAAAGCTTCGAAGTGCCTCAAAAACTCTCTTTCGTTGATGCTGTGTGAAAGTTCCAACTCAGCACGTGCAGTGCTTGACTCTTGTGCCCCTGGGACGTCCTCCCCACCCTTCCTCTCTGTTCCTGAAAAATCATTCTGTTTCAGGCCAAGAGCAAGGCAGAGGCAGCGCGGGCAAAAGCAGCTGAAGCAGCACTGAAGGAGTCGAAGGAGAAGAGGCAGGAGGAGTTGCAGCGGCGGAAGGAGGAGCGGAGGAAAGCAGAGGAGGCGAAGCTGAGCCCTGAGGAGCTGGCGAGGCGACGAGAGAAGGAGAGGATTAAGGAGCTGAAGCAGAGCGCACCACGTGCTAAGATCTCCAGGATGCATTGATTGATGTGGGTGACTGAAGAGGTGCAGCGGCGGAAGGAGGAGCGGAGGAAGGCTGAGGAGGGAAAGCTGAGCCCGGAGGAGCTGGCGAGGCGGCGCGAGAAGGAGAGGATAAAGGAGCTGAAGCAGAGCGCGCCGAGGGCTAAGATCTCCAGAATGCATTGATTGATGTGGGTGACTGGTTGGCTGATCACTCGCCTCAGAGGCAGGAGGCAGGAGGAGGTGCAGCGGCGGAAGTAGGAGCGGAGGAAGGCGGGGGAGGTGGTCAGGGGTGGGGGTGGGGAATGCGGGAGCATGTGAAAGCAAAGCAGGGTGAAAGAATCTTTTTGGTGCTGTGGGGTCTTTGCTTACAGCTTGATAAGCTTCAATATAGAGTTACCTATTCAGAGCAGTAGTTTATTGCTAATAGTTTACACGTGATGTTCTGCCTCCCATGACATTTTATGACACGCACACTTCGAAAGGCCGTGTCGTGTAAGATGATTTAGTCAACGAATTGTACACTCCTCGAAATGAGTGATTTATTATATGAAGAATGCTCGCAGGAGATCCATAGCCTGCAAGAAGGAACAGGCAGGACAGATGACAACGCTTCGGTTAGATACAAATCGTGAAAAGTAGTTACGGAAACATGGTTTCTTCAGATTTTTTGTTTGCGCATGTGTGAGTGCACGTGTAAATGCAACTACACAGATACTTTTTTATCCCTTGTCCTCTCCTGTCCCTACTCCCACTCCTCCCTCTGTTCCCAGATTACCTTCTCTACTGCAAACACACAATATTCACTCCTCTCAATCACCTCTCACCACGTGGCTGATCAAAACCAGATGTGCTTGCCCCAGTTGGGTTGAAACTCGAAACCATACACGTTTTTTAGTCGACTAAAAAACAACAAACGCCTAGTCCAGCACACACCCAGTTCCGTCCATACTACCCACTTCCATACACCGAACAAGCACGAGGCAATCACCTACCTGCCCCAGCGCCCACCATCCCCTGCAGGTCTGCCAGTGCAAACCACACCACCTCCCTCAGAATACACACGGCCCCACAGCTCCTACGTAAAATACCCACCCCCCCACCCCTATCCCCACCCAACAGCACTCACCTGCCCCTGCACGTCTGCCGGTGCGGTTCGCACCACCTCCCTCACAGCACACACAGTCCTGCAGCTCCTCATGCTCAGGTTCTTGAGGCGCCTTGAAAACTCACCCACCCGCCCTACACTCAACCCCTCCCTTAACTCACCTGTCCCTGTACATCTTGCGCTGCGAACCACACCACCTCTCGCAGAGTGCACATGGCCCCGCAGCTCCTCATGCTGCGCCTGTGCTGTGCTCCGCGCCACACCCCGCCATCACCACCAGTGCTGCCAGCACCGTTCACCCCCCACACTCACATGTCAAAGCACACACCTGCCTCAGCACACACCTGGTTTAGCACACACCTGCCCCAGCACCCACCTGGTTTAGCACACACCTGCCCCAGCACCCACCTGGTTTAGCACACACCTGCCCCAGCACCCACCTGGTTTAACACACACCTGCCCCAGCACCCACCTGGTTTAGCACACACCTGCCCCAGCACCCACCTGGTTTAGCAAACACCTGCCCCAGCACCCACCTGGGTTAGCACACACCTGCCCCAGCACCCACCTGGTTTAGCACACACCTGCCCCAGCACCCACCTGGTTTAGCACCCACCTGCCCCAGCACCCACCTGGTTTAGCACCCACCTGCCCCAGCACCCACCTGGTTTAGCACACACCTGCCCCAGCACCCACCTGGTTTAGCACCCACCTGCCCCAGCACCCACCTAATTAGCACACACCTGCCCCAGCACCTACCTGTCCCTGCACATCTTGTGGTGCGAACCGCACGACTTCCCGCAGAGTGCAGACAGTCCCACAGCTCCTCATATTCCGTCTGTGCTCCTCCCCACACCCCGCCATCACCACCAGCGCACGCAGCACCGCCCTCACCGCCTCTTCGCTCTGCTTCCCATCCCCTCCACCCCCATTTGACCCAGCTGCTCCTTTCAACTCTTTCGAGCCCAGGCAGACATCAGATCCTGAAGAAGCATATGAGGCGTATGAGGCATAGGCTGTCAGGACATGCACCAGGCTTGGGATCGCCTCTCCTATGCTCTCCCTCGCGCCGGCTGCTTCTGCTGCAGAGCTGTACTGAGAGAAAGCTGCTAGTGCAGCAAGCGTGGAGCAGAGAGGGAGAGTGGAACCCCAGTCAGCAGCATCAAGCGATGATTCGAGTGTGAGCGTGAGAATGGGAATGGCGTCGTGAGTCAGGAGGAAGGAGCAGCAGGAGTGGGAGAGCAAGAGGCTCGCCACTGCCTCGGCTGCTGCTTGCCTCGCCATCCGAACCTCTCTTCCCAAGCCACTTTCCGTACCTCCCTCTCCCCCCCTATTTCCTGCTTTCTCTCCCGTCTCCGCTGCTCTCTCTCCGCTCAGCCCTTTCTCCTTGTCCCTAGCCCATCTACTGGCCCCGCGAGCCAGCTGCTTGAGGAGGGGTTTGAGCGCCCCTGCTTGCACGAGCAGCGAGCGGGCGTGCGGCGAGAGCGAGGCAGTCACGTTGACGACGCTGCTGAGTTTAGCTTGCGCTGCTGGGGAGGAGGAGAAGCGCTTTAGACACTGGGGGAAGGGAGGTGCATGGGAGTGCACAGGGGAGGTGCATGAGGGGGCAGAAGGGAGGTGAATGAGGGGGCAGAAGGGAGGTGAATGAGGGGGCAGAAGGGAGGTGAATGAGGGGGCAGAAGGGAGGTGAATGAGGGGGCAGAAGGGAGGTGAATGAGGGGGCAGAAGGGAGGTGAATGAGGGGGCAGAGTCGGATATGAGATGATGAGGAAAGCGAGGCCGTGGCGCTGATGCTGCTGCTGCTGCTGTGTGAGGGACGAGGCTCACAAGGCTCCCTGGAGCTCACCTGAACCTCACCTGAACCTCACCAGGAGCTCACCTGAACCTCACCTGAACCTCACCAGGAGCTCACCTGAACCTCACCTGAACCTCACCTGAACCTCACCTGGAGCTCACCTGAACCTCACCTGAACCTCACCTGAACCTCACCTGGAGCTCACCTGAACCTCACCTGAACCTCACCTGAACCTCACCTGAACCTCACCTGAACCTCACCTGAACCTCACCTGAACCTCACCTGGAGCTCACCTGAACCTCACCTGAACCTCACCTGAACCTCACCTGAACCTCACCTGAACCTCACCTGAACCTCACCTGGAGCTCACCTGAACCTCACCTGAACCTCACCTGGAGCTCACCTGAACAAGCAGAGGAAGGTGGAGCAGCAGCCGCTCCTTACTCTCCAAGTCAGCAGACAGCTTCAGGAGTGCATCCATGGCTGCATGCGAACTGCCACGTGGACTGCCATGTGGACTGCCATGTGGACTGCCACGTGGACTGCCATTTGGACTGCCACGTGGACTGCCAAGTCTGTCATCCCCACCAGCAGCAGCCAGCTGCAGCAGCGCCTCTACAGCTCCCGCCTCTCTAAAAGCCGCTCTGTTAGCAGCAGAAGACGCGCAGAACCACCCTATAACCCTGGCTGCTTTCCTCTGCTCCTCTTTCGTCCCCTGCAGCAGCCTCAGCACCACCTGAGCGGGGCCCCTCGGGTCAATGGACATCACATCTGGTGCAGGTACATCTGGTGGAGGTGCATCAGGAGGAGTTATCCCTGTGTGTTGTGACCCACTCGTGCTCTGATACCAAAGTTCTGCAGCCAGATTGGCAGTCAAGCTCCCTGAATCCCTAGGACTGGCCAGACCTTTCTTGCTGCTGGCGCCATCTCTCGGACTAGGTAGCTTCATCTTGCTGCTGCCCGTATGCTCTCTCGGGCTTGGCTGGTCTTTCTTGCTGCTGGCGCCATCTCTCGGACTAGGCAGCTCTATCTTGCTGCTCGCATGCTCTCTAGTGCTGGGCGACTTTTTTCTGTTAGCATGCTCTCTTGGGCTGGGCAGGTCTTTTCTGCTTGTGTGCTCTCTCGGGCTGGATTTTACCTTGTGACTCGCGTGCTCTCTGAAGGTGGTGCGTTCTCTGGGGCTTATGTGCTGTTTGGGGCTTATCAGGTCTCTCGGACTTACATGGTCTCTCGGACTTACATGGTCTCTCGGACTTATGTGGTCTCTCGGGCTCACATGGTGCTTGTAAGAATCAGCATCCGCATTCAAAGGAACGGTCAGGACATAAGGCTGTGTCCCATCCCGTGGGTTTGTCCACCGCCTGCCAATGCTCTGCTCCCTCAGGCTGCCGCTCATACCGTTCCCAAGAATGTCTCCCAGGCTGTGATTGAGGCTGTTACTGGGATCGTCCCTTGGGCTGTAACTGGGCTGGTTTCTTGGAGGACTGTAACTGGATGGGATGCTACCGGGGTGGCCTCTTGGGCTGTGACTGGGGTTGCTCCCTGGGTGGCTCCTGTCGGCGTCTGTGGTTCCCTGACTGCTCCCAGCCCTGCTGCTTGTGTGGGGGATTGGGTCTGACCATACTGTTGTGTCTCGAGCGTGAGAGTGAGAGTGGGAGAGGGGGCGTGGGTGAGAGTGTGAGTGAGAGTGAGAGCGAGAGTGAGAGGGGGGGCGCGGGTGAGAGTGTGAGTGAGATTGAGAATGAGAACGAGAGCGGGAGTAAGGGAAGGGATGGAGGTGAGATTGAGAGAGCTCTGGAGGAGATTGCACAACAGGGAAACCATCAAAGGAAGACTCATTCCCACCACCACCAGCAGCACCAGCAGCAGCAGCCAATGCTATCTCGTCCCTTACTCTCTCCACTGGCCCTCCTCTCTTCACCCGATGCCTCTCCTCCTCCCGACTGCTCCCCTCAATCATACCCCTGGATTCTATCACCGAGTCAAACATGAATCTTTCCTCTCTCGGACTCCTCCTCTCCTTCGCACTCCCAAATATCCTCCCCACGCCTCTCCCTTCCCTCGCATCCGCTCCTCCCTCTGATTGCGCCTGCTGCAGATAAGCCTCCTCCAAGTACACCTGCTCCAGCTGCGATGACTTTTGCTGAGTCGACTCAAAAGTCTTTTTCGTCCTCCCTCCCCCTGATTGCGGCTTCTGCAGATGGGCCTCCTCCAGATACACCTGCTCCAGATGCGCGTTGATCAGCGCGAGCTGGTCACTCAACCCGTCCGCCTGATACCCACTGCTGCTGCTAATTGGAGCACCAACGCTGCTGCCAGTGCTGCTACTACCACCACCACCAGCTCTACCAGAACCGCTACCAGCAGCAGCAACAGCAGCAGCAGCACCAAACCTAGTTGTAGCACCATGGGAACGAGGAGACCGCCGTTCCCTCCCTGCCACGCTATGCCACCTGCCATTCGCCCATCCTGCCATGTCATCATTCACTGAACTACCTGGAACACCCCCTTTTTTCCCAACCCCGCCACTCGCACTGCCCTCCTTCCTCCGCCCTACAATCATGTGACTCCTGCTGCTCTCACTCCCAGCGTCCCATCCTGAGCCTTCCACAGCCTCCCGAACCTCAAGAGCCTCCCGAACCTCAAGAGCCTCCCGAACCTCAAGAGCCTCCCGAGCCTCACGTGCGTGTTCCATTAGCCGCACCAATCCCACCTCCCCCACGTCTTTAATCTCCCCTACGTCTTTAAACTCCTCGGGTTCGTCCGAGCCAGTTAAGGCCCATCGTTGGAAGCTCGGGTTCCCGCCCTTTTCCTGGTCTACACCATCTAGTAGTCGCCGCATGGGCGGCAGAAACTTGGCAGCATTTGGCGGGGGACGCGGATTGGTGGTTCTCTCTGTGTCCCCCTTTGCTTTGTCCCCTGTGCTTCTCCTTCTGCCTTTATCTTCCTCACCAAACGACTTGTAATTGCTGCGTCTTCTGCTGCCATCTCCCCCAACAGTTTCGCCAGCCCCACCAATACCAGTGGCTTCGGAGGGAGAAAGGAGAGCGCGGATGGAAAGAGGAGCGGTGGCGAAGGGGTGGAAAGATTGGGAGGACCCGTGGGGTTGCTGCTGCTGGTGCCGCTGCTTGTGCTCGCGCCTCTCCTTTGTTCGTCGGCGGGAGGAGGGAGCAAGAGGGTCAGCTACAGGAATGGATGAAGGTGGTGCCAGTAGCGGGTCTGCTAACAGCGGAGACGAGCCGGCCTGGGGGGACAAGTGGTCGAATAGAGCACCAGCGCTACCAGCAGCAGCAGCAGCATCTGTCATACCAGTCAGCAGGCCCGAAAACATTAGATCGCCAGGTGCAGCAGCTAAAGCAGAAGGAGCAGAGTGAAAGATGGAGGGATGAGCGTTAACCACGGCTGCAGCACCCGCCACTGCTGCAGCATTAGAAATTTCTGCAGCACTAGTCATGCCCACAGGGCTGAAGAGGCTAGTGCTTACCATAGCAGTGGGGTCCCAGGGCGAAGGGGGGACAGCCCACGGGGAAATTGGGGGGCTTGGCTGGGTACCAGCGAGGGAGTCAAGGGTGGAGAGGGGTTGAAGGGGGTCGAGTACGGTGACACCTTGCAGGTGGTCAAGGTTCGGGAGACCTGAGAGGGGTTGAAGGGGGTCCAAAGAGGTGCTGATTTGCAGCGGTGGGGGCGGGACGAAGCGGTGGGATGGACGGGGCTCAGTGAACGGATGGGCCATGAGAGGAGTGGTGAGAGGGGCGGAAAGAGGGGCTGCATCTGCATGCGATTTCCGATCTTTAGGGGATTTGAGCTCTCTGGGCGATTTATGATCTCTAGGCGATTTGAGTTGGTCCCTGGGAGAGACATGAGTCCCTGCTGTCTTGCCCTCTCTCGGCGATAAATGCGTGAGGAGAGACGTCCCATCCTTGCCTGCTCTCCTCTGCCCCCTCACAGCAGCAAGATACTCTGGAGTGATAAACGCCCTCGCTGCTGCTGCCACTGCTGCTGCTGATGGTGCTGATAATGATGACGATGGCGAAGCTCCCTTCCCTCCTGTGCCTGCTCTTGCCCTGCCATCCCGGTCGGTTGGAGTTGGAGTGCTGGCCTGGCCTCTCCCTTCCTCATCGCCTTCTCCTGCTTTCAGCTGCCCCACCTGCTGCTGCATTGCGCGCAGGAGTATGGTCAGCTGCGGGGGAATGGGAAGGGGGAAGAGGGAGGGGGACGACGTTTGAGACGTCTCAAAAGTCAATGCTCGTCTTTCCCTTGCAGCTGCCCCACCTGCTGCTGCATGGCGCGCAGGAGAATGGTCAGCTGCGGGAAAAGAGGGAAGGGGGAGGGGGGAAGGGGGAAGGGGGAAGGGGGAAGGGGGAAGGGGGAAGGGGGAAGGGGGAAGGGGGAAGGGGAATGTTTGAAGGGGGAAGCGAGAGGAGCATAAAAAGTGCTACCCCTGTTTGCTAAATGTCGTTTTTCCCACCTGCTCCACCATGCTCGCCCGCTGCTCATCCCCTGCCTCCTCCGCCTGCCATGCCTTTGCAGACGCTAGGCCCTTGTTCTTGAATTTTTGCAGACGCTAGGCCCTTGTTCTTGAATTTTTGCAGACGCTAGGCCCTTGTTCTTGCAATTTTGCAGACGCTGGGCCCTTGTTCTTGAATTTTTGCAGACGCAAGGCCCTTGTTCTTGCAATTTTGCAGACGCTAGGCCCTTGTTCTTGATTTTTTGCACTCGCTAGGCCCTTGTTCTTGCAATTTTGCAGACGCTAGGCCCTTGTTCTTACAATTTTGCAGACGCTAGGCCAGTGTTCTTGCAATTTTTGAAGACGCTAGTCCAAAAGCACCAGAGCCGACCGCTCCTCCTTAAACGACCGCAATGAGTCCAACCCCAGCAGAACCGCCAATCTCCCTGCCGCATACTCAGCAAAAGCACGTGCTGCAACTGTCCACATCTCACCTGTTCCACCATGCTAGCCCGCTGCTCATCCCCTGCCTCCTCCACCCGCCATGCCTCCAGCACCAGAGAAGAGCCGCCCTCTCCTCCTCAAACGACCGCAATGAGTCCAACCCCAGCAGAACCGCCAACCTCCCTGCCGCATACTCAGCAAAAGCACGTGCTGCAACTGTCCACATCTCACCTGTTCCACCATGCTAGCCCGCTGCTCATCCCCTGCCTCCTCCACCCGCCATGCCTCCAGCACCAGAGAAGAGCCGCCCTCTCCTCCTCAAACGACCGCAATGAGTCCAACCCCAGCAGAACCGCCAACCTCCCTGCTGCATACTCAGCAAAAGCACGTGCTGCAACTGTCCACATCTCACCTGTTCCACCATGTTAGCCCGCTGCTCATCCCCTGCCTCCTTCGCCCGCCGTGCCTCCAGCACCAGAGCCTCCCGCTCCTCCTCAAACGTCTGTCTCGAGTCCAAACCCAGCAGCATCGCCAACCTCCCTGCCGCATACTCCGCCGATTCCTCTCCATCCTTCCCCCCCTCCTTCTTCCCCTTCTCTTCCTCCTCCTCCCTGCCCCCTTCCTTCCTTTCTGCCTTTTCCCCTCCTCCTACACTCTCTCCTTTCTCTTCCCCTCTCAGCTCTCTTCTCCCTCGCATGCTAAGAGCGTTTTCCTTCACCCAGAACGTGTCCTCTACAAACCCTAGAAGTGCTGCCATTGCTGAATCCTCTATGCTTCCTGCCTCCTCGCCTGAATCTTCCTCCTTTTCAGCAGTTGCATTCTTTGATGCAGTAGTCCCGCCTCCCTCCTGCTCTCCCCCCTCTCCCTCCTCCTCCTCCTCCTTTCCCCCCTCTTCCTCCTCCTTCTCCTTTCCCCCTTTTTCCTCCTCCTTCTCCTCCTTTCCCCCCGTTTCTTTTTCCGCCTCCTTTCCCCCCTCTTCCTCCTCCGCCTCCATAGAATCCTCTCCCTTCGCATTCTCAGCACCATCCACTTTGGATCCCTCCTCGTCTAAACCCTCTTCCTTTGAGCGTCCTTCACCATCCCGGCCCTTTCCATTCGCATCCCCCCCTTCATCTCGTCCTTCCTCTCTTCCTTTCAATCGTTCGTCCTCTCCCCCTTCCTCTCCGCTTTTTCCTCCATCTCCATCGTTTCCTCCATCGCCCTCTCCCTCTCCTTCTCCTTCATGCGCTCCCTGCTCCGCTTCCTTCTCCTTGAATCCTCTTTTCCCTTTCTCCCCCTCGCCTTCGTTCTCCAGTTCTTCCCCTATCTCCTCCACCTGTTCCTCCTCTTCCACCACCTCCTCCTCCGCCTCTTCTGCTTCTTCCACTGTATCCATGCTTTGCAGTGAGTATCGCCTGCTACTGCTGCTGCTGCTGCTTCTAAACATCACACTGCTGTTGCTGCTGTTGCTACTGTTGCTGCTGCAGCTACTGTTGATGCTGTTGCTGGAGTCACTGGCGATAGAACCATCACTGCTACAACCGCTGCCCTTGCGCCGCCTGGCTATTTTCTCACCCTTACTGCTCCGGCTGCTGCTGCTGCCGGTGATACTGCCATCACCACTGCTGCTGCTGCTGCTGCTGCTGCTGCTGCTGCTGCTGCTGCTGCTGCTGCTGCTGCTGCTGCTGCTGCTGCTGCGACTGCTGCCGCTACCGCTGCTGCTGATACCACCAGTGCGGCCAGGAGAGTCATCACCAGATGCAGAGGCCTCACGGGAAGAAGAGGTATCACGGGAGGCAGAGGCATCGCCAGAGGTAGAGTCATCACCGGACGAAGAGGCATCACTTCGGACGAGGATTTGGAATTCCCGGTTGACCTGCGGCGACAGTAGCTCTGTGAAGCTGGCCGTTTGTATGTGCTGCTGAATGGCTTGTAGCTGGGGTGTTTGAGGGTGGAGGGGAAGAGAAGGGATACGGAGGAAAAAAGCATGAGGGACGGATGAGCCGAGCCATTCCCAGTTGACCTGCGGCGATAGCAGCTCTGAGAAGCTGGCCGCTTGTATGTGCTGCTGGATGGCTTGTAGCTGGGTTGTTTGAGGGTGGAGGGAAGAGAAGGGATACGGAGGAACAAAGCATGAGGGACGGATGAGCCGAGCCATTCCCGGTTGACCTGCGGCGATAGCAGATCTGAGAAGCTGGCCGCTTGTATGTGCTGCTGGATGGCTTGTAGCTGGGTTGTTTGAGGGTGGAAGGAAGAGAAGGGATACGGAGGAACAAAGCATGAGGGACGGATGAGCCGAGCCATTCCCGGTTGACCTGCGGCGATAGCAGATCTGAGAAGCTGGCCGCTTGTATGTGCTGCTGGATGGCATGTAGCTGGAATGTTTTGAGGGTGGAGGGAGGGGAAGAGCTGGGATACGGAGAAACAAAGCATGAGGGACGGATGAGCCGAGCCATTCCCGGTTGACCTGCGGCGATAGCAGCTCTGAGAAGCTGGCCGCTTGTACGTGCTGCTGGATGGCATGTAGCTGGAATGTTTTGAGGGTGGAGGGAGGGGAAGAGATGGGATACGGAGAAACAAAGCATGAGGGACGGATGAGCCGAGCCATTCCCGGTTGACCTGCGGCGATAGCAGCTCTGAGAAGCTGGCCGCTTGTACGTGCTGCTGGATGACATGTAGCTGGAATGTTTTGAGGGTGGAGGGAGGGGAAGAGAAGGGATACGGAGGAACAAAGCATGAGGGACGGATGAGCCGAGCCATTCCCGGTTGACCTGCGGCGATAGCAGCTCTGAGAAGCTGGCCGCTGGTACGTGCTGCTGGATGGCATGTAGCTGGAATGTTTTGAGGGTGGAGGGAGGGGAAGAGATGGGATACGGAGAAACAAAGCATGAGGGACGGATGAGCTGAGCCATTGATGGAAGGAGGGGCGGGGGGGGAGGAGGGGGGTGGAGAAACAGGGACGGGCCGATGGGAATACGAGCCGGGTGCTCCAGGTCTACCTGTGTTTCGTTGCCAGGACGGATGTTGCCTAGATTCAAACGAGTCAGAGTCGAAGTGTAATAGCGGTGAACGATGAGTCATCTTGATGGTTGGCAAAGACGGATGTATCGTGGACTCAAACGAAAAAGAGGCAAGGTGTAAGGGCAAGGCAACAAACGCAAATTGGACACTTAACTAGCAAGTTGACCATGGAAGACCAAGCCTACCTGTTCGCTTGCACCAGCAGGCAGGTTCTTGACGGCCGGCGGAAATGGCTGTTAAAGCGACTCAAAGGAGAACGGGGACGAAACGAAACAACGGTTCAGATCACAAGGGCCTAGAGACATAGATTACCGGTTCCCTTGCGTCAGGCGGTAGGCTATTGGACGGCAAGTACGGCTGTGGAGACGACTCAAACGAGGAAGAGGACGAAACGGCGGTTCAGATCAAAGAGCAAAAAGACGTAGATTACCTGTTTGCTTGCTTCAGAGGGCAGGTTGTCGGTCGGCAGAGAAGAGAGGCACGCAGCCAGGTCGGCATGGATGCTGCTGAAGTGGCTTGCGCTCATTGGTGAGTCTGCCACCAGCTGTTGGTTGTGGATGGAATATGGGGGACAGGAGAGGAGATGAGAAGAGAAGAGAGGAGTAGAGTGGAGTGGAGAGGAGAGGAGAAGAGAGAAGGGAAGGGGAGAGAAGAGGAGAGGAGAGGAGAGGAGAAGAGAGGAGAGGAGAGGAGAGGAGAGGAGAGGGGAAGAGAGGAGAGAAAAGAGGAGAGTGGGAGAGAGGAAAGGCGGAATTCTCGCTCCGTAACATCCGAGATTTCACCTGAACGACTCTAAAGTTTCACCTGAAGCAGCCTGCTCCGTGCGCTGATGCATCGCTGCATGACCCCGGTGCACCGCCGAAGCACGCCTTCTAGCGCCTGAAACGCCGTCTTCGCCGCATCTGTGGACTCCCCCCACCCGCGGTGATTCTTGCAGCTCTCTAGAAACGCGTGGATGAGTGTCGCGGATTGGATGAGAATGTTGAAATTAGTTATGTAAGCGCCGCTCGGGTGTGCGTCGTCTTGTAAATGGAACGCGAATTGAGAGAGGGTCATGCAGCTCGCTATAAGAACAACTAATACCGGGTCGTCTGGCTCCATTGTTCGACGCGGCGAATTGCTGGAGAATTGTGAACGAGTATGTTTGCACCAATATCGAATCGACGGTAATTTCCTACTCGAGAATGCGTTGATAATGCGCAAACGTGCTCACAATGCGGCAGTCCGAAAGTCAGTCGCTCGCTTGTACTAGCTACTACTATCGTCCACGCCTGGGGATGCGCAAGGACAAATACAAATGGTTCCGCTATAAAGTCCCGCGCTCACAAAGTCCCATTTTCAGAATGAGGAGCTTTTTCCTTTAATTCCTAGGTGTGGCCCCTCCTCTACAGTCCCTTTTTTGACCAGGTTCATTGCACGTATAAGTGCCTTGAACATTTACGGAGAATGCTAAAAAGGGCAGTTTTGTTTTGAAGTGAACATTTACAGCTGATATTTTTTGTTTCTCTTGACCGCGCTTGTTTCTTATTCCCGTCGCGCGATTCCTAGCGCGCTCCACGATGACATCTCAGTAATCTCGCTGACAGGAAGGAAAAACAAAAAGACAAACTTATTATGGCATCAAACATAATCGATGTTGTTTATTTCTGCCCGTTTTTCACGCGTCGCTGATAACGCGTAAAACCGTTCGACGAGAAGTTGAAGCAAGCGCGGTCCATACGTACGTATATGACAAAAAACAACAACCAGTAGAGACAAAAAACCGCTTTTCATGCAATTTTCTCGAATTTGGGACTATAGGGTCCCGTTTGCCCGGGGTTTCGGACATTTTGACATATAGTCCGCGCGCGGCGTGTTTCTCCGTCGGACTTTAAACGAGAACAACTGTACCTTTTTGCCAAAAAGCCTACTGGTCCCTATGGACACTGCAAAAGGAGTCTGGACCTTGGGAATTTCAGAGCAAGAAAAGGCCTTGATTTGCCCAACAGCACCAGGTCATCCAACCCAACCCAGACCATCATCACCTAAACCAGCTTGACCCAGCCCAAACCAGCTCAGACCACCCTCAACCAGCCCAAACCAGCAGTTCACACCTTGGGGTTAGCGTGGTGTTGTGGGGCACGTGGCAAGGGGCTCTTTCCCCCTCGCTTCTGGGATCAACGAGCACTTTCCAACCTGAGGTTCGGAAACTAAAATGGATTGCAGGTGGTGTAAAGCAAAACAGAACGGTTCAGACTATTCACCGTGGCTTTTTATTGGTTCAACTGTCGAGCTTCTTCCAAGCCAATAAAGCGCGTTTCGCCTTTGTTCCCACATCCATCTGTTTTGTGTGACCAGTGCGGGATGGAGGACAGCGGAGCAGACGTTTTGGTCATGATACGGAAGTTGTAGACCAATAGGAGGGCAGCGCGACGACAGAAATTCCGCCAGTGACGCGACAGATTCGACAAAAGCATCTGACGGAATGCAAGATTCCAACAAAAGATACTAATGTACACCGTTACAAGCCACTCCATGAGTGGGCTAAATAAAACATATTAACAGGCGATTCTGGGTCGCAGATCCCAGTCTCGACACTAAATACGCTGCTGGGTCTTAGGGAGAAGTATGCTGCAGTTCGCGAGTATCCTGATCTAGGAATTACAAACGAATGACACGTTGAGAGAAGCAGCCAATCAGCAGCTAGTTCCTGATAGGCCTTCATGTCATTGGCTACGACCTCTGAGGTGGCATTTGTGCTAATGGCATTGTCACTAAGCTTGTTGGAGTGGAGAGGAGTGAACGGGGTTGTGACAACCTGCAAGTGAAAAAACGAGGAAACAAAATTGGGGGTCAAGACGCTTAAAACGAGGATCTAGATTTGACAAACGGAGGTTCAGAAGTTTTTGTTATGAACCAGGCTTGCCGGCGCGAAGGTGTTGGCTGGCGAAAATCTGGAATTCGTGCGGGGAATTTTCCTCCGCAGTAACTGGTCGCCAGGGTTTAGGGTTTCGGGTGGCAAATGTGCACCGTCGCTTTAAGCCTTAAGTAATTCCATGCCACTTACCAGTCCACAATCAGTGCCTAAGAGAAAACCATCAGTAAGGACAAAATGAGCAAATAAAACAGGGACTGATATGGGAAATTGAGGATGCAGAGGGATGGAAAGCGAAGAGAGTTTGGGGAAGAAAACAGGTTGGAAGAAGCAGATGGAAGGGAGAGGGGGGACGAGGGATGGAGTGGGATGGAGAGAAATAAATAGCCAGCGATCACAAAAAAGGTACAGCACAAAAGTACCGTAAGAACATTTACTACACATAGGTGTTGATACGTACGCACCTTATTTTGATACTGCTGATGCATGGCGAGCTTGAAATGCACCGAGTTTGTGATAACCAGCCAGCGCACTTCAAGCGGGGGGGGAACCACCAGTCCTCCAGTGCCTGTAGAAGGAAGGAACCGACCAAAAGCATGGGCAAGGGATGGGAGAAATGGGGGTTGGACGGAGAAAGAAGTTCGTGATAATGAGCAGGGGAGGAGAAGTCCCCCCTCCCGTGCAAGTGCGTACTTCCAGGGGAGGGGGGAACCACCAGTCCTCCCGTGCCTGGAGAGTGGGAAGCATGCGTGGAGGTTAGGAGAAACTGGGTGGAAGGAGGGACGACCATTGAAGTTTGTGACACTGAGTGAGCACACTAGAAGAGGGGGGCACCGCCAGTCCTCGCATGCCTGGAGAGTGGGAAGAATGGGAGGGGGAAAGTTTACTTGCTGAAGACATGGGTTGGAAGGAGGCAAAGTAACTCGCTGGTGGAGTTTGAAGCAGGTGCTGTGGCAGCCACTGCAGCATCCACTGCAGCCGTCACTGCAGCAGTCACTGTAACAGCGACAGCAGCAGCAGCACAGCACACCTGAGCGCAAAGCAGCAGTGGGCGAGCGACCTGTTTGAGCCTCTCAACCTCTGCGTCGCCCCGCTGCTTGGGGGCGTTTTCGCCCTCCCCTGATGCGGTGCAATGCGGTACAATGGAGTAGCATGCGCTGCAGCAATTACAGCAGCGCACCTGAGTGCAGGACAGCAGCGGCCGAGCCACCTGTTTGAGCCGCTCAATCTCCGCGTCGCCCAGCTGCTTGGGGGCGTCCTCGCCCTCCCCTGACATGGTTCAAAACGGTGCAATGGGATGGAATGGGATGGGATGAGAATTAGCCACGAGAAATAGCAATGAAAACAGACAGCGAGACGTATGGGATGCGTCAAGCCACTCACTCACTCACTCACTCACTCACTCACTCCCACACTCACACACTCACTCACTCAGTCACTCACACACTCAAACAGTCACACATTCACTCACTCACTCACTCACTCACTCACTCACACGCTCACTCACACGCTCACTCACTCAGTCACTCGTCTGCAGACGAGCCACAAACAGAAACGTATAGCTCCAGCAACAAGAAAAGAACTCACCTTGCAACACTATCAATCGAGTTTCTTAACCTGAGACGAGCTCCCAAGCACTGTCACAAGAATTATCATAAGTACTACCATAAGTCACAAACACAACGCTCTCACCTTCCCACACTGTCCCATCAGTGAATCTGATGTGAACGCCAATAGTTACCAAGCCTGGTGCATGCACCTCCCTCTCCAGGCCACTCAGAAGCTGCCGAACCTCTGCATTAGGTCTGGAAAAAAACGCATGAGTGGGGGAGGGGGAGAAGGGGGGAGTGGATGGAAAAGAAAGTGATATATTTCACCAATACAGGGAGGGAGGTGCTTCTGGCTCCTGTCAGGGCAGCAAGTGAACATGACTGTGCAGTCTCCTTTTCACAGAAGAACAGCAGAGTGGAAGTGGCAGGAACCAGGCATGAAAGGAAAAACATATCACTCGAGCAATCTCACTTGAATCTTTTTTGAGTGACTCTTGAGAACTCTCAAAAATCACTCACAATATCACTCGAGCAATCTCACTTGAATCTTTTTTTAGCAGGAAGACACAGCCGAGGGCATACGGTGGGCGCAGCCCTGTGGCGCGGAGGGAAATGCGGCTGGAATGGAATGGAAGGCGGCTTTGAGTCGACTCAAAGCCAGCTGTTTGCGTAGCCAGATACCTGGTTTTTGCAATATCACTTGAGTCTCACTCGAGCCTCACTCGAGCCTCACTCGAGCCTCACTTGAGACTCACTTAAGTCTCACTCGAGCCTCACTCGAGTCTCACTCGAGCCTCACTTGAGTCTCACTCGAGCATCACTCGAGCCTCACTCGAGTCTCACTCGAGCCTCACTTGAGTCTCACTTGAGCCTCACTTGAGCAGGAAGCGCAGGATACAGCCGAGGGCATACGGTGGACGCAACCCGGTGGCGCGGAGCCGTGCCGCCCACTCGCTCTGCTCCTCCGTCAGTATCTGAGTCAGCACGCCCCGATTCCACGACAGCCTGACGTTGCGGAACTTGCTGTAGGGCGTGAAGGTCGCCTGTGTGGGTGGACAGAAGGATGGGCATGGGCGGATGAAAGGAGAGGTATGCCTGGGTAGGTTGTTGGGTTTGGGGTGCATAGATAGACGTGTCACAGCCTGACGTTGCGGAACTTGCTGTAGGGCGTGAAGGTCGCCTGGGTGGGTGGACAGAAGGATGTGCATAGGCGGATGAAAGGAAACGTATGCCTGGGTAGGTTGTTGGGTTTGGGGTGCATAGATAGACGTGTCACAGCCTGACGTTGCGGAACTTGCTGTAGGGCGTGAAGGTCGCCTGGGTGGGTGGACAGAAGGATGTGCATAGGCGGATGAAAGGAAACGTATGCCTGGGTAGGTTGTTGGGTTTGGGGTGCATAGATAGACGTGTCACAGCCTGACGTTGCGGAACTTGCTGTAGGGCGTGAAGGTCGCCTGGGTGGGTGGACAGAAGGATGTGCATAGGCGGATGAAAGGAAACGTATGCCTGGGTAGGTTGTTGGGTTTGGGGTGCATAGATAGACGTGTCACAGCCTGACGTTGCGGAACTTGCTGTAGGGCGTGAAGGTCGCCTGGGTGGGTGGACAGAAGGATGTGCATAGGCGGATGAAAGGAAACGTATGCCTGGGTAGGTTGTTGGGTTTGGGGTGCATAGATAGACGTGTCACAGCCTGACGTTGCGGAACTTGCTGTAGGGCGTGAAGGTCGCCTGGGTGGGTGGACAGAAGGATGTGCATAGGCGGATGAAAGGAAACGTATGCCTGGGTAGGTTGTTGGGTTTGGGGTGCATAGATAGACGTGTCACAGCCTGACGTTGCGGAACTTGCTGTAGGGCGTGAAGGTCGCCTGGGTGGGTGGACAGAAGGATGTGCATAGGCGGATGAAAGGAAACGTATGCCTGGGTAGGTTGTTGGGTTTGGGGTGCATAGATAGACGTGTCACAGCCTGACGTTGCGGAACTTGCTGTAGGGCGTGAAGGTCGCCTGGGTGGGTGGACAGAAGGATGTGCATAGGCGGATGAAAGGAAACGTATGCCTGGGTAGGTTGTTGGGTTTGGGGTGCATAGATAGACGTGTCACAGCCTGACGTTGCGGAACTTGCTGTAGGGCGTGAAGGTCGCCTGGGTGGGTGGACAGAAGGATGTGCATAGGCGGATGAAAGGAAACGTATGCCTGGGTAGGTTGTTGGGTTTGGGGTGCATAGATAGACGTGTCACAGCCTGACGTTGCGGAACTTGCTGTAGGGCGTGAAGGTCGCCTGGGTGGGTGGACAGAAGGATGTGCATAGGCGGATGAAAGGAAACGTATGCCTGGGTAGGTTGTTGGGTTTGGGGTGCATAGATAGACGTGTCACAGCCTGACGTTGCGGAACTTGCTGTAGGGCGTGAAGGTCGCCTGGGTGGGTGGACAGAAGGATGTGCATAGGCGGATGAAAGGAAACGTATGCCTGGGTAGGTTGTTGGGTTTGGGGTGCATAGATAGACGTGTCACAGCCTGACGTTGCGGAACTTGCTGTAGGGCGTGAAGGTCGCCTGGGTGGGTGGACAGAAGGATGTGCATAGGCGGATGAAAGGAAACGTATGCCTGGGTAGGTTGTTGGGTTTGGGGTGCATAGATAGACGTGTCACAGCCTGACGTTGCGGAACTTGCTGTAGGGCGTGAAGGTCGCCTGGGTGGGTGGACAGAAGGATGTGCATAGGCGGATGAAAGGAAACGTATGCCTGGGTAGGTTGTTGGGTTTGGGGTGCATAGATAGACGTGTCACAGCCTGACGTTGCGGAACTTGCTGTAGGGCGTGAAGGTCGCCTGGGTGGGTGGACAGAAGGATGTGCATAGGCGGATGAAAGGAAACGTATGCCTGGGTAGGTTGTTGGGTTTGGGGTGCATAGATAGACGTGTCACAGCCTGACGTTGCGGAACTTGCTGTAGGGCGTGAAGGTCGCCTGGGTGGGTGGACAGAAGGATGTGCATAGGCGGATGAAAGGAAACGTATGCCTGGGTAGGTTGTTGGGTTTGGGGTGCATAGATAGACGTGTCACAGCCTGACGTTGCGGAACTTGCTGTAGGGCGTGAAGGTCGCCTGGGTGGGTGGACAGAAGGATGTGCATAGGCGGATGAAAGGAAACGTATGCCTGGGTAGGTTGTTGGGTTTGGGGTGCATAGATAGACGTGTCACAGCCTGACGTTGCGGAACTTGCTGTAGGGCGTGAAGGTCGCCTGGGTGGGTGGACAGAAGGATGTGCATAGGCGGATGAAAGGAAACGTATGCCTGGGTAGGTTGTTGGGTTTGGGGTGCATAGATAGACGTGTCACAGCCTGACGTTGCGGAACTTGCTGTAGGGCGTGAAGGTCGCCTGGGTGGGTGGACAGAAGGATGTGCATGGGAGGAGGTGAGTAGGTGAGTGGGTGGATGGGTGTGGGGGGGCATTGACGCATGACAGCCTGACGTTGCGGAACTTGCTGTAGGGCGTGAAGGTCGCCTGGGTGGGTGGACAGAAGGATGTGCATAGGCGGATGAAAGGAAACGTATGCCTGGGTAGGTTGTTGGGTTTGGGGTGCATAGATAGACGTGTCACAGCCTGACGTTGCGGAACTTGCTGTAGGGCGTGAAGGTCGCCTGGGTGGGTGGACAGAAGGATGTGCATGGGAGGAGGTGAGTAGGTGAGTGGGTGGATGGGTGTGGGGGGGCATTGACGCATGACAGCCTGACGTTGCGGAACTTGCTGTAGGGCGTGAAGGTCGCCTGGGTGGGTGGACAGAAGGATGTGCATAGGCGGATGAAAGGAAACGTATGCCTGGGTAGGTTGTTGGGTTTGGGGTGCATAGATAGACGTGTCACAGCCTGACGTTGCGGAACTTGCTGTAGGGCGTGAAGGTCGCCTGGGTGGGTGGACAGAAGGATGTGCATGGGAGGAGGTGAGTAGGTGAGTGGGTGGATGGGTGTGGGGGGGCATTGACGCATGACAGCCTGACGTTGCGGAACTTGCTGTAGGGCGTGAAGGTCGCCTGGGTGGGGGGTGGGGGGTGGGGGGTGGTGGGGGGTGGGGGGGGGGGGGGGGGGAGGAGAGAGAGTGGGAAACGGGGGGAAGGATGTGAGGAGACAGTGGTGAGTGTGTGTAAAGGAAAAAAAGACATGAACGGGTGGGTGGGTGGGTGCGTGGTTTAGTGGGTGGCTGGGTGGGTGTGGGTGGTGGCAAGCGTACAGAAACCCACCTGCATGCACGCTCCCGAATTGTGTATCTCGGATGTCCAGCATCGGCACTTCATCCACACTCATCTATTTAAATCAACCATCAACCCTCCTCTGCTGCTATGTATGTAATTATGTGCTACAACAACCAATCTATAACCAGCCACAGTCACGAACACCCACCTGCAAGCTCCCGAACTGCGTGTCTCGAATGTCCAGCATCGGCACGTCATCTACACTCATCTCATTTGTTTCCGGGCTGCCCGCAATCACCGACTCGGTCGATATTATCCGGGCAGGTTCGAGCGCAATCTCATCGCCAGCCCTATCTGCTGCTGTGTCGGCTGAGCCAGGTTCGGCCGAACCTGGCTCGGCCGAACCAGGCTTGGCCAAACCAACGTTGGCCGATCCAGGGTCGGCCGAAGTGGTTGGCTGGTCACCTCCACCAGCTGCTGACGTGGACGGGAATCTCCAGTCGATAAGGTTCGGCTCAAAGGCGAATGGCAGGCAGCGGTGGCGAATCAGCAGCGCGCGGCCGTCCAATAGCGCGACGACAAATGTCGAGGCGAGGCCCAGGAGCGTGTCCCCCAGGCCGCCGCAGCCGTGGTACCACTCGTAGGTGAGGAAACGGGGGGAGGCGGAGGGGGAGGGGGAGGAAGAGGCGGAGGCGGAGGGGGGGGGGGGGGGAGGGGGATGGGGAGGGAGAAGGGGGAGGAGAGGAGGAGGGGGAGGGAGAGGTGGAAAGAGAAGTAAGGGAGTCTGGGGGTGGAGCTGGGGAAGGGGATGAGAAAAGAGGGTTTGATGATGGATGAGGGGATGAAGCTTCCTGGTTGTTGCTCCCTCTGCTCCCTGCTCTGCCTGCTCTCTCGAGGCTGCTTCGTCTGCTTTCTGCTCGCATTCGTTCCTGCAAGGCGATGTACTCGTTATGCCATGACCCGCAAAGCGCTTCATGGTAGCCGAAATGAAGGTCTGACGTGGACCGCGCGTGTTCTCCAGAGGCTGTGACTCCCAAAGAGGCTAAAACGAGAACTATTGTAGCGAAACATGCATTCGCCCATGGCCAAGTCGCGATTCGTCGCGATTGGTCGCTGCACGCAAGCATCCTGGCGACCGGCACTCCTGCCGGCTAGCCGTTCCCTCACCCGACAAGGCTTCCACTTTCGGGAAAGTGAATGTGGCTTACTTGGTTGTCGGTTCAAACGCTGATAGATCGAAGGAGCGGGTTCGAGAAATTCGGATTTTTCACCTCTACCTTATAAGTGCGCATCAGCCTCGCCACTAAGAAGCTCCTAATGGCCCCGACGTCCCCCCTTCAGTCCGTCATGGCTCATGGATTCTAGAATTTGTGAATCACTTGGGAACGCCGAACATCATCTAGAATTTGAATCGCTGCAAACAGCGTACGAATCCATGAGGATTCTTCCACTATTGCCATGTACAAGTGGGTGACCTTTACAAGGAGCAGTCCTGAAGTGATAGTTTAATGCAAGGGTGCACTTTCCTGGGGGTGGTTTTTGGGGGCATTGTTAGTGGTCCCCCTTTGACGCTTGCTGATTCGATAACGAATTGTACAGGGTATGGAAAGCTGGGGCGAGAGATTCAAACTAGGCTGGCGACGCCAACCTATTTCGCACGGAGGTTGCGTTGGGGGGATACTCCGCGCCAGGGCAGAAATCAAGCCTAGGGCGTAGCGCAACCAAGCAAGTGATAAAGCAAACGTGAGTTGACTGTTGAAGATTAGAAGCAAGTCATAACCAAAGAGAGTTTCATTTCGTTCAGCTTGAACGCAGAGGTACCGCCTTACCACGCAAATTCATTTCGTACTTTGTCTAGCGCCACTACGACAGAGCATATACGGGTAGATTGCCCGCCTCCCACGGGTACAACGCGCCAAGCCTCATCACATGCTAATGGCGAAATCGCAGCTAGCTCGCGCCGTCATCGTCTGCGCGGCGCGTCGTTATCACGTCGCTGCCTCCTCGCTGTGTCGCCAACTCGCA